GATGGCTGGCAGTTCAAACCCACCAGCCACTGCTTGGAAGGAAGGTTGGGAAATATACTTCTGTAGTGATGATACTGCCTCAGAAACCCAAGGCGGGGTCACTATGACTTGGGTTCTACTTGATAGCACATAATAACAACAACAACATTCACTTATCCTTTACTTGTTTTTCGAATGCTGCTCTTTTCAGTTCCCACCCGTAGAAAAACAAAAAATAAAATAAATCAACACTCCAACTACTACCCCTGTTTCTAAAATAAGTTTAGCTATTAATTAGAAACCCCTGTTTCTAAAATAAGTTTAGCTATTAATTTAGGAAAGAAAGACACATTTTCTCAAACTTTCAATTATATATGCAGTTCATTAATCTTATCATTCAGCATCTCTACTAAGGGGGAGTTTATCACTTTGCCTTCATACCTCATCAGATATAGGAGACTGATTTTATCTCACATCTTGATTATATGAGTGGCCCTGTTTTAGTATAGATATATAAGTTTTATTCAGTTGAAGACAGTAAGAAACTTTGAGCATTGTTGGTAACTTAGCTGAAATAAATCAAAAGTCACAAAGGGAGCACAGCCAGACAGTGATAGAGAGCACTGTGCTTACAGAATTATGGCTCCAATCTTCCCTACACTTTAAAGCAAAACAATTGTTATACACACTGACATCTTAAAACATGTATTTTTTTTTTTTTCTTTTTGATCTGATAAAAATAAGACTTACTTTTTTTTTTCTGGTGATATCCATTTTAAATGATGTTTCTGTACTTTAATCCAAAAGGACAAAAATGAAATTTAAACACATCGGAGTTCTATTGGTGTCCTAGAACTTCAAAGTCAACCCTGGTTTTGTGTCACCATTCATACCCCTTGCATTTTGGTCATGTTATTGTGGTTAATAGATGCTTATCAGTAGGTTCCTGTTCATAGCAACCTATGTACAACAGAACAAAAACTGCCCAGTCATACACCATCCTCATACTCCTTCCTATGCTTGAACCTATCATTGCAGCCACTGTCAATCCATCTCATTGAGGATCTTCCCCATTTTTGCTGACCCTCCACTTTACCAAGCATGATATCCTTCTCCAGGGAATGGTCCTTTCTGACAACATGACCGAAGTAGGTGAGACAAAGTCTGACCATTCTTTCTTCCAAGGAGCATTCTGGCTGCACTTCCTCCAGCACAGATTTGTTGGGTTTTCTGGCTGTCCATGGTATTTTCAGTACTCTTCATCAGCACCACAATTCAAAGGCATCAACTTTTCTTCAGTCTCTGTTATTCATTGTCCAGCTTTCACATACATATGAGGTAACTGAAAATACCATGATGTGGGTTAGGCACACCTTAGTCTTCAAAAGAGCATCTTTTTTCTTCAGAAGATTTGCCCAATGCAATCCAACATCTTATTTCTTGAATGCTGGTTACATGAGTGTTGATTGTGGATCCAAGTTAAATGAAATCCCTGACAACTTCAATCTTACCTCCAAATCATTTCTTTTTTGGTTATAGCAAATAATATAATGATGGAATTTAGAAAATTTCAAGAAGTTATCAAAATTAAGTGCTCTATCATTCATTTTAGGTTTTTATAAATGAGGTTATATAAAATAATTTGATGAGGGAACGGAAGAACTATCAGGGACCAATATATCACCAGAGTTCAGACATCACTGTTCTGCTAGGGAGGTGGTAAACTTTTATCACTATTAATCACATAGTAATGTAGAAAAATGCATTTCTTTATGTTTTAGGGATATGATAGATGCTTTCCTTAAGAAAGAGTACATTAGGAGCTTCACTTTATATTTTTGTTTTTACAATCATTTCATGTTTTCCAAATACCCTCAATAGCAATACAATTTTTTTCTTTCATTGCATAGACAAAAATTGTTCAAGAAAGCATTTGTTTACATCATATATAGAAAATAAACCCTGTTGTGAATTAAAATAGATATGTGAACTATTTAATATTACAACTTTACAATGGAATTGTGAATCGGAAACAATAATGAGACTTTGGAGTAAGAGGTTTATATTCAAATTCCATTAGCTCCGGGTACTTAAGGGATGTGGATGATAAATAATTAAGCTATTTTTTCTATCTAACAAGACTGTTCAAGGCAGTTATTTATTGATTTTTACTTGCTTGGGGTTTTCATTTTTGTTGTTTGAAAAATCTCTCTTGTACTTGGCTTTCGACTCATATATAAACACATACAAATTAAAGTTGACATGCAGACTTCCACTCTCAGCTGTCTACTGTATATTCTAGAAACATTCCTACTAATGACCTCTTCAAAAATATATGCACATTAGGTATGTCAGTCAATATGTCTGACACACATGGAGGTTAATATGTATGTGTATTGTATACATTGATTAATATATGGTGTTGTTGTTGTTGTTATTTGCCACCGAGTTGGCCCTGACTCATAGCGACCCCTCCTTGGGTTTCCGAGGCAGTATCACTATGGAAGTAGGAATACCCAACCTTCCTTCCAAGGAGTGGCTGGTGGGTTTGAACCGCCAGCCTTCTGGTTAGCAGTCAAGTGCCTTAGGCACTATGCTACCAGAGCTCCTTAACATATGGTATGCTTTGAATAAATATTACTTGATGGATTTTGTTTAAAGAAATTTGTTATAGAATTAAGTATCCTGAAGCCAAAAGCAATAACTGAATAAATCACCATTGAAGTCCATTTCTTCTCCTTTGCTGTTTCTTACTGCTAATTATTATCTGCCCTTTGGGGAGTGCAAGATGTATTTCTATATCAGAGTAATAAGATATGAGACTTCAACTTAAAATTAGGTTAAAGAGGCAAATAATATTGATAAGGTCTTTCTAGAATAGAAAATAAGATATCCATTATCTGAATCTTATCAAATTGTAAATTATTGCTTTGCCTTATCTTGATTACATTGTTCTTTTTGCATAGTTTCCTTTTGGAGAGCTTGTGAGGAGTAATGATTAGTTCATGGTAAGGATGGATATTCTTTTGTCTGGCCAAATATTATATTAATGGCATCTCAGTATTCATTTCAACCTCCTAGAGATAATCATGCGAGCTCTGGTGGCATAATGCCTAAGGCTTAATAACACCTGTTCCTTAAGGGTTTAGACTACTTCAGGAATCCAGCAGAAATTTTCCTTTCTGGACAATTTACTGTAAAGAAGGATATCTATAATTAAGCTGAATTTAAAAAAAAAGAAATGTTAGTCTGTCATCTATAAGAAAGATGAACTGAATGTACTAGGTAATCAGATAGTGAGCTCTCAGTTAGATACAAGATACAAATAGAAAAGGAAAGACTCAAGAAATATTTCCAATTCTGAGTCAATAGGACTTGATCACTAATTCATTTACTGGGGATAAAGATGAGTGTAAAAAAGTGTTCTAGTACAATGATAATTTTTGTAAAATATGTTTTTTGAACATATATAACTTTAGGCTTTTGTTGAGAAGTCTACCTGTCTTGAAAAATCTCAAGGTGTCATTCCGTTTAATGCAAGGAATGGATTTTACAGTTTTGGCATATTTTTATGAACAAGGGCTTTGCTATGTGAGGACTCCTTCAAGAGTCAGTTTGCAGGATGTCAGTACTCATAGACCTCATACTCAATATACTTGATTCATGTGGAATAGTTGACCATTTCCAATAATATATTGGAAGGCAAAAGGTGCTCTTTCAGATATGCAAGGATGTATGACCTAATTTCCATGCTTCCAGAAGTTCTATTGGTTTATAAATGCATTTTTCCAAACTGAAGTAACACTGATGGGTGTCTCAGGAAGCAACTAAGGTAAATATCCATGAAGTTGTGGGCTGCTGAACAAATCTGGTTCACTGCTATGCTAATTACCAGTTAGCTGAACTGTCAATTTCTATTTTAAATTCTTACTAAGTGAAGAAAACAGTGTGTAGAAAATGAAACTTTAACTACAGTGTAACTTTTTTTGAATACTATTTATTGTTTATATTTGTGTGCACATACTCATTTTGATGTTGGAATGTTCTACGCCACCAGAGCTCCCAATAATATTGCAAATATGATAAAACGTACATAGATAGATATGTTACATAGATATAATCATACTATAAAAAGATAATGATTTCTTTGCTTATTGTTCACATTCTGAGTTGTGAAAGGCAGCTATTCCCAGAGAAAGATAGCAGAAATCCTGTAAAGCAGGGACTTCTTCACACGTGGCTTTATATAATTTGTTTGGTGTACTCTCAAGCAGAGATGCACAATCAAGTTCAGGTTCACTGCAGTTAAGACTGCAGAGGCCCAAGAAGATGGTGATGGGAAAGAACCCTGTCCTCACCTCACTGGCCAAATAGATATTCTAAGAAATGGCAGGTGCTTCTAGACCAGGTTTTCTTGAGGAGCATGAGCTTCAGGAAGTCTATCAGCAACCACCTGTGTAGGGCTGCAGAGATCAGCAGGTATAACAGCATGTAGGTATTCATTACTACAGGTGCATTTTTTCCTGTCAAGATAGCTAATACTCTAAAAATTAAGTGTCTGTTATGTAAAATAGTTATTCTTAAATTTTATTATGCACAATAGTCACCTGAAGAGCTTACTGGATTCAAATTCAAATTCCTAAAACCACTGTTGTTGGAATTTTGGTTGTACCTAATACAATTAAATACATTTACTCTTTGAACCAACAGTCCTTGTTCAAACCATTTATTCTGAAATGGATTTTCACAAATAAGAAAGAGAATGACATGCTATTTCCTATAACACTATATAATGACAAAATATTGGAGAAAAACATAATGGCCCATCCACAAGCAGAAACCAAAAACAAACCCACTGCCATCAAGTCAACTCTGACTCAGAGTGACCCTATAGGACAGAGCAGACTGCCCCATAGGGTCTCCAAGGCTGTAAATCTTTACAGAACTCAACTGCCTCATGTTTCTCCCACAGAGAAGCTGGGGTTTTCAAACCACCAACCTTTTGGTTAGCAGTCACATACCTTAACCACTGCACTGCCAGAGGTCTTTCATCCACAAGAGACTGCTTAAGTAACCTATAATGCAATCACACTAAGGGATATTACCCAGCAATAAAAAATGAAGAAAATCTCTATGAACCAATGTAGTGTTTTCCAGAATATCTTGCTAAGAAAATAAATAAATAAAAATAATAGTTATGTTATATATTTTATATTTTTACCTCTTATAAACTATAATTGTATAAAAATATCAATATTAATGTCATAAAAGACAAAAATGTGGGGGCTTTTCTATGTTAAATATATATGACAATCAAATAAAATGCATCAGACTTAATTGCACCCTGGATTAAAATATATATATATATATATGAGAGACATCATTGAAAAAAATGGATAAAACTTGAGTATTAGTGGTATGTACATTGAATAATTTTTTGGAATCTTTGTTAAATTTCTTGCATGTTGTGACAGTGTGCTTACATAGCAATACAGTGTAATGCATAGAATACAGCTATCCTCAGGGATACAGATTAAAATATTTATGAGTAAAGTGTCATGATTTACCAATCAAGCAATTTACCAACAAACAATTCTGGAAATAAATGACTAAATTAAGAATAATATGCAAATGCAGCCATATGTTAATAAATAGTAAAACTAGTTGAAGGGTATATGGATACTATCTTTTCAAGTTTTCTGTGGGTTTCACAATATTAATAAAAGAAAAAGAAAATGCAAACTGGCTTTTTTTGTTTTAAGCCAATTTCTGGCATGTTAGTCTTAGAGTGGAGTGCTGTTGGTGACGGTAGGTGCTGTGGTGTTGGGTGGACGCATAATGATGCTATGTACAACAGAACGAAACGCTGCGAGGTCGTGCGTCATCCTCACATTCCTTGATACACTTGAGCCCATTGTTGTAACCACTACAACAATCCTTCTTGTTGAGAGGCTTCCTCTTTTTTGCTGACTCTGCGCTTTACCAAGCATGATATCCTTCTCCAGGGCCTTGTCTTTCTTACAACATGACCAAAGCACACGAGACAAAGTCTGGCCATTCTCACTTTGAAGGATCATTCAGGCTGCACTTCCAGGATAGATTTGTTCATTCTTCTAGCAGTGTGTGGTATTTTCAGAATTCTTCTTCAACACCACACTCCAGATCCATCAAATCCTGGGTCTTCCTGACTCATTGCCCATCATTTGCAATGATGTGTTGTTGTTGTTGTTGTTATGTGCCGTCGAGTCGGCCCCGACTCATAGCGACCCCTCCTTGGGTTTCCGAGGCAGTATCACTACGGAAGTAGGATTG